AATGTTAGTGACTGTTGGGACTAGTTATAATGTTAGTGACTGTTGGGGACTAGTTGGTGACTGGAGGTTTCTTCCTGTTAAAAGGGAGTTTTTCCTTCCCACAGTTGCCTTTGTTCTTGCTCAGGATGGAGAGACTGTGACGAAATCAAGACTCAACCCGTCTGCTGGCTTCCTTCCTCTATAACTTTACTAACTGGCATTTATAATGTATGTGAATGTTTCTGTTCAGTGCCTGAGATGACTTCTGTTGTGACTTGGCACTACAGAAATGAACCGAACTGAATTGTAAAAGTGTTTGTATGCTAATAGAGAGGCAGGTTAGCTTTCAAATCCACTTCCTGCTCTGGTGTTGTGCTGAAAAAGGCACCCCTAACACACACCGACACAAATATGACAACAACTGCCCCGTTCTCCACAGATGTGCCTCTTTTTAAACATCTTGGTGTTTGTCGGTGCAAATGATTTAAATATCGCCCGGATAAATTGTCCATTTAACGTCAGGTGGAACCACTGGATTGGCAGCATCGCTGCAGATTTGTCCATTTTTCTGAGCTCTAAAATACTGAATGTGTCAACAGTTGGGATAATTCTATTTCTATGAGAGAAAATCTGAGTAATTCTTTGGTAATTCAACAATTATTGATATGTGAATTAAAACAGTGGGAGGAAAATATATAGATATATTTAAATCAATGATTTAATTTTGATCAAGTTCTCAACTTAGCAACTGTTTTTGACTAATTAGTCCTTGTTCCTTGCTGTGAACGAAGCTAATTCAGGTCACAGGAGCTCATTTCCGCCTCAGAGAGCGAGACATTTCACGCTGCTGAGGAAACTCTGCTCGTTTTCAGGAAGCATTGATTGCATTTCCTGACAAACAGCAGCCATAACAAGGCTCCGGTGTCCCAACAGTCCCATTTATACACCAGTGTTACTGTTGCCATCGATATCTGTTAGCCTACTTTACGCTGCAAGACGGTTTCTAAAAACAGACACACAAGCATTTATTCTAAAAGAGAAAAACACAAAATATAGCATGCAATTTCCTTCAAACCTGCAAAAGGTTCAGTTATTTAAATAAAATGTGTAAAACTGAAGAAGCAGCTGTAGTAAATAAACTACAGTACAATGATCTGCAACAAATGAACAATTTTTTAAAATCATATTCAGGAATATAAAACCAAGTCTTTATGCATTATGTGTACAATAACATATATATCCTATTCAAACGTGAAATAAATATTAATATTTATGGTTGTTTTATTAGATCAGTGCTTATAACTGATGCAGAGACAATTATACACCATATGATATCTATGAAGCATCCAGAGCTGATTCTGTTTGTTGTGTTAACAGCAGGTAGATTTAATGGAGCTCTGATTGAGAAAAAGAGGATTTGCTGATTTTTGATAAAGTTTGATGCAATATTATTAAAAAGGCACTGAAACATCACATGTCAGAAAGATGCATCTGATGTTTTATCTAAACACAGACCTACAGTTTCTGACTGATGTAAATAAGAGGATGTGTGATCTGCATGTGGATAATATGTAACTCGTATGTTTCTTACTACAAGTATTATGCAAGATTTTTTACTCCAAACGCTGCATCGATCCTTAAACCGCACGTCCACGGTGAAACGTTTTGCCTTCAGCGGGGAAACCTCTCGTGTTTACATGTTTGGGTCTCGTTGAGAGAAATCCCTCCATCAAAGTTGGCCTCAGCCGGTTGTTTCTGACAAATCACTGGTGGGAATGAATCAGTCAGATTCTGGTTCTGAGCTTCGGGGCCCGGCAGAGAGAGAAGCTGGAACCAGCTGCAGGAATCCAACATGCAACAGCAATCATTTTCATTTTATTTTATACCGTCTAATATTGACTACTGGTTTTTTAAAACAACGTTAGTTACATCTCTCGTTGTCGAACATAATCCCAGATCACAGCAAAACGTGAAATTGTAAAGAAACTAGAATATTTACAGATTGTGCATATGCCATCCAACAACTTATTCTTGTCTTCTCTGTGGAATAATTATTTTGCAGAACTTCTGCTCCTCGAGTCTAAAACCTAAACCCAACAAATATATTCCTAAACCAAACCGCCTGTTATTCCCTAACAGTGGTGGTACTAAGGGGTGGTACAGGGTGGCAGCTGCCACTGGAAAAAAAATATCTTGCCACCCCAGTTGTAGGCTAGTTAATATATTTTTATACAATCTGCACAATGTTTGAAAGTCAGGGACATCTCTACACAACTTTACAATTTCCTCTCACCCCTCTTGAATTTCAAGACGGTTTCACTTCGAGAGATGATTTAAACCTCCCAACCATCAACGTGTCATTTCATTTGTTTGAAAAAACAACTGCGTGTGAGTCTTTGTCAAACCTGAATAACAAACGTAAAAAGGTCGATGACAAACAGCGCTCAGTGCTTGTTTTTATGTAACTTGTGTCATTTTTAGTCATAGACAAATTACTCAAATGCGTGAATTTAAGTCCAAAAGTAAAAGTGTTTTTTGCCGCCTTTGCCATCCTAAGAAAATAAAACTCTTGCTCTGCCTCCGTTAATTAAACTTATTCAAATAGAAAGCCAATTAAAAACACAGAAATCCTGCTGCTCCGTCACTACCAGACACCTCTAACATGAAAATGCAGCACATTTTTACCAACATTGGGTTAAAATAAAAGAAAATTGCAACTCTTTTCTTTGTATTTACAGACAAGTTTACTCTTGTTATAGTAGTTGTAAAGATAAAAGTACAGTGGCAGAGTATTCACTCTCCAACATGCATGGCATGCAGTCACATTCAGAAGTTAAATGTAGTAAATATTAAAACTTGACCTAGAGTGTAATAATAGAATATATCCTTTTTATTAGACTTTTTAGCCAGCATTTGCTGATAAACAAATTATTTAAAGATGCGTCGCAAACTGCACCGAGACTTAATTTCTTTATGTTAATCTCTTTCTTTAAACTAAAGAAAACATAAATTTGTGGTCCAGGACAGATGTTTTTAGAGCTTTAAGACAATTTTATGGATTTCCTTTGGTCTTCTTGAACACATTCAGCAAAACAAACTTAAAGTACAGAAGACAACTTTAACTGAGGTTGACTTAGTTCACTTTTGATTTCAGCGAATCAGATGATTCAATAAGAGACCAACTTGTGCTGGAATGTGGATATAAGCTGAATGGTTATGAAAATAACAGACGTGGGTATATTTGATGATTTTTGGATCAAGTATAGATTGAATTGGCTTCTGAAGGAGAAAAATGTTGCAAAAATACCACTATGGTCTCATTTAAATCTGTGTAAATGAACCATTTATTCAGTCAAAACAAGGACAATAACTACAGTTTGAATTATATGGATGTTTTCCTTCTATTATTCTTTAATTCTGTATTTGAGCTGCAGCACATGATGGCAAATTTACACATTAAGCTCCAGTGACTGCTTTTTGTAATCTGCTCAGAGCTGATTTCAGGTTGCTTTTCCCGTCTTGACATTTTAAAGGAGCTGTTTTCATTCCCAAACAGAGAAAGTGTCCTGCTTTTACAAACATTCTTCTTTTCTCAAGTGAATCCTGAACAGAATGACGGCTTCTCCTCTCTGTCCTGGAACAAAGACGTCCATGAATCACAGCTGATGGAGGTTTTATGAAAGGATTTCACGTCTTGCTCTGGTGTTTTCTGTTTTACTCCACGTCTGAGCCTCGGTTCGGAAAGCTTCTCGGAGCACGAGTGCTGATCCATGATCGGGGCCTTCCACAAAAGTAATCTTTCAGTCCTGATTCTCTAAAACTCCAAAGAAGATCGAGACGAACGAGGAGTCGGTGTCTGCAGTGAGGCTGCTTAATCATGACAGGAAATTAACTTTAATTGAACACATCGGCTGCACGCTCTCACTCAGTTAGTTTTAATTCAGCTGAGTTTAAACCAGCAGCTTCTTTGATTTATGACACATAATTGGAGGAACTAATAGTGAGCTGCTTGTCTTCATGATTAAAGTATGATAAAGTAATTATATCTTCGGAGCACTGAAGGCAGCACTCCTGCTCCGAGCTGCTCCTGAAGGACTCACCGAAACTTGTTTTGTAGTCACCGCCACGCTCTCGGCACCTGAGAATGTTTTTATACAGAAAGAAAATGTATTTGTGAAATTATTTTGATATAGTTTGTGTATTTGAACTGATGTCATCCTGTAATTCCCAGAATAACCACCGTGTTTGGATGAAGACGTCCGTGTCAGAACTTTTTGTATCATCACATTTAGCACCAGAACCTGCTCCAGCTCTGACCCATACCCTGACCCTGCTGTCCCGTGTGGTCCGAACAGTTAGAGCAGCATGCCGACCTGTTGATGGTTGTGGGACAGAAAATAATGATGAAATAAAAAGCACTTTTCTCTACAGCTGGCCTCCTGATTTCATCATGACCTCATCGTCCTGCTGAGAACAAAAATCCCATTTCACTGCTGGGAGGAAAGCTTTTTATTATTTCACACATAAATGAGAAAACCATCAAAAAGGCTGTTTTCATCTTTTCATTATTATGCAGGATGAAGTGAATATTTTAAATGCTGTGTCAACACTCACACTAACGAGTTTAAAATCAAACCACAGCCGCATACTTTGTGCAGAACCTTTAGCTCTTTCAGGCGATGTGACTTCTTTCTTTCTTTAAATATTCTATTTTTAAAAACTTTAATGACAAATGTTTTCATCTAAAGAAACACAGTATCATTAATTCCTTCAAAAACATTGTTCTGTTTGAAATCTGCTTCAGGAAACTGGCTCTATTTTTGACTCCCTCTGCTACTTTTAGCTACTGTTCTACTTTTAGAGTTCGGCATAAACAGAGTCACTTTTAACAAGCCTTCATTTATATACTGTATATAAATATGATTAAATAAATAAATATATATATATATATATATATATATTTGGAGGAGCATGCCCTTTGGAGGGTGTGACAAACTTAAATAAATGAATAAATACATAATGCAGTACTGTAACTGTAATTCTCCATAAATGCCAGTCTTCCTAAACCCGCGAAAACTGACCTGATTCTCAGCCAATCAGGTCGGAGCCGGAAGTGACGCAGAATCTAGCGCACGGAAGTCCCGGGAGTGGCGCGCCAAATTTCAAAGGACTTCCTCCTGGGAGGAAAAAAAGAAAAGCTGCTCGAGAGCAGTCGAACAACGGCGACAAAATATAATCCGTTCAGCCGGAGTTTGGACCTAAAGTTCTGCGTCCGGACACCAGAAAGAGTCGTTTCTCAGGATTTATCCACCGGAAGTCGGAGTGCAGCTGTTTCTGGTGTAAGTTCTGGCTTTCATTGTGACCAACAGGAACTAAGAACGAACCGAAACCCGCAGGAGGGGAAGACTTCACCGATCTGATGACGTTATCTTCACTTTAAGCAGTCTGAACTGGATGTAAAGCGCTTAATACTTCAATAAAAGTGCCGTTTTTGTGTAAAAAGTCGAGTTTCACTGCAGATGAAGTTAATTTCTGTCGATTATTGGGACGCGCTTTGTGTCCGTGTGATCCATGATTTGGCAGCTGACGCACGGTGCTCACTGCTGCCATCTGAAGTTTAATTTACTGCTCGTGTTTTAAACATGTTTGTGCTTCTGCTTTAAGTTTATTACAAATCAGTTCATCTCTGACCTTTAAATGCGCCTTTGTGTCCTTTTGAAGCGTAAAATAAAAATAAAGTCGTGGTTTACTTTGGATTAAACTTAAAGGAACTCATTGTAAACTATGAAAACCAACTCAGAACAAAAGTTATTCTAAATTATATTTAAAAAAGGGCAGATGGAGGTTATTTTAGCAGTTTTCCAGATTTCTCGAGGTCGTTGTAAACAAACACTTTCACTTTTTGTCTTGACCCCTCATGACTTGCTGAGCATGCATCAGGATGTGACTCATTACAAAATGTGTGGGTTTTTATTGTTTTTATGGCATGCAATGAGTGCATTTAATTATGGATATAAAACTAAATCTGATTTTTGTTTTCTTGCAGGTCGGACAGCTGTTGCACACCTGGCTGAAGTTTGAGATTTTAATCTTATTCCCACCCTCGACCTCACACAGATTGGCTCTTTATCTGATTTTCAACCTGAAAATATTAAACGAGCGGACTCGGGCCAGCAGCAGGTTTTGCTTTGTGCAGCTGTAATTTTTACGGCTCCTTTTTGCGTTGGCAGCTCTAACACACCTGCTGTCCACGTCACAGCTGCTCGTTGTGTTTGAACTCGCAGCTTTATTGTCCCCACTCTGCAGGGGATTGAGTCTATTTGAGTCCGGGCTCATAAAAGAGGAGCAGGAGCTCATTTCCACTCCCGTACAGTGCTCCAAATCCTCATTACACATTCATATATGCGTGGCAGCTCTCCACACTAATGCAAACACCTGTTGCTGCACCTGCCTGTGACCTTCACACTCGCAGCTTTTACTTTTAAAGGCTGACAGTTTGGCTTTACGTTGGCCGTCTCTGAACACCTTCAGTTCAGTTTCTCTCGTTTCGCCCAGAGTTGAGGCTGAAGATGGGCCTGAGCCTGCTGTAAGGCAGGGCCGCTCCTAGATCCACGGTGGCCTCGGGGTTTGGGGGGCAGACAATTGGAGGGTTCAGCCATGCTGTCCGGGGAGCAGCCCTGCTTCCAGCTGCTTCGGTTCGGGTCGTCCACGGGTGACTCGGCGCGGGATCTGTACACGTTCCGGCCGACCCAGAACCGCTCGGTGTTCCGTTTGGGCCGAGCGGCCGAGCTGTGTGACGTCACGCTGGACTCCACGGCGGTGTCGCGCATCCACTCCGAGCTGCACGCTGAGAGGGATGCGAGCGGAGAGGACGGAGAGGAGCAGCAGGAGGAGGAGGAGAGCTGGAAGGTCTACATTAAAGACAGGAGCAGTCATGGTGAGAGAGAGGGCGGAGCCACAAAAACACACCTTCACACACCTCCAAGATGAGTCATGCTCACACACACATACCTTTAGAGTCAGCGTGGGAGGGAAGGAGGGAAAACACACCCACGGGAAATATCACAGAAAACTTAAGATCAAATCAGTGCCATAAAAACAACTGTTTCAAAAACAAACGAGAGATTTCTTTAAAGGTGCGTCTAACCCACCACCATCCGTGCCTGTTTTAAAGGAGATGATCTTATGGGGGGGAAATGACAGAGCCGTAGTTTGATTCAACTTTAACAATAACTTTATGTTGTAAACGACCCTCAGCTACTCCCACAACAAATTATAGCTCAACATTTGAGAACGAACTCGAGTTATGGACCGTTTTGTGTTCGCTAAGCTCGATTAGCTGCAGCAGCCATCTTTAATTGTGTTCATTCCAAAAGTTCATCAGTTGTAGATGTGCAGCTAATGTTTACTTTCACTGGAATCCAACAACTGCTTCGTAAGATATTTTGCTAACAAATAGGTTGGCCCCAATTTAGTAAAAATGTTGCGCGGTGTACCGTGCTCATGCGTTTGAGATGATGCTCAGCCACCACCTCACCAAACTTTACATCTGTCTGTAAGTTTTATTGAGCTATCGCCATTTTTACGTTTTCTAAAGTTGCTTAGCTGTGGCGGCCATCTTGAATCAGATTGACTTTAAAATTTAAACATTTGTTGTTGTTCAGTCATTGATTACTTCCTGAAAGTTTCATTCAAATCTGTCCCGTGGTTCTTAAGATATTTTGCTAACAGTAGAGACAAATGAACACACAGACAAAAGCAAAAACGTTATCGCTCAGCCTTCGGCAGCCATAAAGTTATTTTATGTTGTGGTAGTTGACCGAACCTTCGAGTGAATATTAGCAGAGGTGCTTCACGTGCACAGACATCTTTTTAACGTCTGCCGCCGCTGGCGTGTTTAATCTCATGTTTCTGTAAAGATGAAACAAAAGATGAGATTAAGAATGAAAGTTTGGCCTTAAGCCTGACGGGTCGTGACAGACGAGCTCTGAGTCTGAACCTCGTCACATGATGTTTGTGGTAATTTCACACTCCGTTTCCCAGATTTCCCATTTCTGCAGTCGGACCGGTGTTTCCGTATTCCTGCTGCGTTTCTCCAGCTGCCGTGGCCGTTTGATCGTCTTGTAGCCTTCCAGCTTTTCAATTCTGGTTCCATTTCACAAACTCGTCGTGTTTCGAGCTGTAAACAGATTGATGACTTTATTTCAGACTTCTCCTTGCTTGATCATTTCTTTCTTGTTTGTTTGACGCTGGGATATTAAAACACCGAGACTCCGTGGCCTCGGGTGCCGTTTCTCTCAGCTCATCGACTTCAGAGGAACTTTTCCTCCACTTCTCTTTCGGTCTTCAACGTTTCCTCACCTCTCCGCTCTGGTGTTTTTAGGCACGTGGGTCAACGACGTGCGCCTGCAGCCGGGCATTCTGTGGGAGCTCTCAGACGGCGACACGCTGACCTTCGGGGACCAGTCGGCTCCTGGGAGCCCCGAGTCCTACTTCCTTTTTCAGAAGGTCAAAGTTCGCCCGCTGGACTTCGATGCCATCACCATTCCAAAGGTAAGAAGGAGTCCGGTGAGACGGGATCTGAGACTGACGGCAAGAAGATTTACGCTTTACTCATAGTTTCACTGTTTTCGATGATGGAAGCAAAACCATAGCTAAAAGCTAAAACTGGTAAACAAGCGCTAACACCAGCCAAATGGTAGAAAAGAGCTAAAATCATGAGAACAACAGCTAAAAGTTAAAGTTCAAAAGTCGTAGCTGTAATGGTTCCACCTGTACTGAATATGTGCTTTTGTTTTGTCTTTTAGGCGGGAATCTTTTCCTCTGACTTGCAGAACCGGATCAGGACCAGCCTGGACCGAAAGGTGGCCACCAACCTGGACCATCCCAAGATGTCCAGGGCCACGGTCATCCTCAACTCCATCGGCAGCCTGAGCAAGATGAAGGGCAGCGCCTGGACCTTCAAGAGGAGCCACAGCCACGAGGGGGCCGTCTCCGACCCCGGAACCTCCTCTTCCTCGCCTGTGAGCTTCACCTCGCTGCTCCCTTCCTCCGCTCCTCCGTCGCTGACCTCCGCGGCCTCGGGGCCGTCGGCAAAGCCCCTGCAGACGGCCTCCAGGAGCAGGAGGAAGTCTGCGCACACGGTGCTGCTGGAGGACGACAGCTCCGACGAGCCCAGAGGTCGCGCAGGTAAAGATCACTTCAGAAGCTTCCTTGAGTTTCAAAATAAGAGGCAGAAATAATAATTGTGTTAATACAGAAAAATATCAAAGAAAAAGCATTTTCTTTATGTTTAATTGAGGCCTTGAGGCTCAACGGGCTGCAGCTAATCAAGAAAACAAATGTTCATTAGAGACTGTAAATATAAATCATCCATGCAAATCAACAACAGCACGAAGAAAAGAGGAAAACGCCTCCATTAAACTGACAACGTGCTGTAAGAGCGACACGTGCACATCAAAAGTGATGACAGCTAAAACCGGTTCTTTGTGACTCGTCAGTTTTTGTTGTTTTTATTTTACAATCGGCCTCTTTAGTTGCATTTCTTCTTTTCCTCAGCTCTGATTTGAGCCCGAAACATCAGAGTTGAACCTTAAATCAGATGATTTCATTCAGATTGAGTCTTTTTGTGCACAGCTGCTGAAGGTCTTTGACAAAAAAATAAAAATAAACATTTTTTATAAAAACTCTGAATGATCGCTGGAATTAAGTAAAGAAGCTGAAACGGAGCCGTTGAAGCTGGAAAAAAAACAGAACTCTTGCTAAAAGCACGAAGAACAAAGTGGTAGCTGAAAGCTAAAAGAAGCTAAATGCTTCCTAGAAGTAGCAAAAGTTTACCTAGAAACCAAAAGTAGCAAAAGGCTGGAAAAAAAGCTAAAATTAGCATAAGAAGACAAAAACCGAACCAGTTTCTGAAGCAGTTTTCAAAAAGAGAAATGTTTTGGAAGGAATTAAAGATATTTTATGAGAAAATAGTCAAATTAAATGTTTTGATAGGTTTAAAAGTAAGTCCTAGCATGAATGAGCTGAATGTTTTGGTACATGAATGGCTGAAAGTGCACAAAACCTGTAAAAATACTAAAGTTTTATTTCTGTTTTTTGTCTCCCCCCCCCCCCCCCCAGCTCTGGTTGGAGTTGTAGAGGAGGGCCAGAGAGCGCGGACGAAGAAGAGACGGAGGCTCTACAGGTCCGAGTCCGAAGGTTTCAGCTCCCCTCCTCCTCTGCAGCCGAAGCTCCACAGCGACATCCGCAGGCCGATGGAGCCCAAGCCTTTCCCTGTCGGGATCCGAACCATCGGCAGCTTCCACGGCGCCATGACCAACAGCCAGCTGAACCAGCAGCTCCTCCAGGCCTCCTTCACCAGCATGGTTCCTCCCAAACAGGAAGTGGGGACCACGCACCGGGTCAAAACGGTGCTGCACGGCAGCATCGCCACTTTCCGCCAACAGAAACCAGCCGCTGTTCCACCTGCAGCGCAGAGAGGCAGGCGGAGGGCCAACAGCACACCGGTGTTCTCCCCCCTGGTGGTGGGAGGAGAGAACTACAGCCTGGCTTCACCCACAATGAGGGTCCGGACGGACGAGAGAGGAAGGGTCCCGTTCCACCGCTTCCATCATCCGACAGCGTAAGATGAAAGAATTTGTTCTGCTGCTGCAAATGAGTCAAAACAGCCACGTTTTATTAAAAAATGCATTATTAAATAATGTGCTCTTTATTAGAATTGGACGTAGGTGCAGTAGTCCCTCGCTACTTCACGGTTCGTTTATCGCGGCTTTTCAAAATAAGAGTGGACGTGACACAATCGGCTGATTGATGGATGAGCCGCACGATCGGCGTGAAATTGTTATTTAAATAAATTATTTTAAATTATTTAGCACCTGCTGCACATTTGTGCAGCCCACACTGCAGGAGAAACTTCAAGCTGCAGCTGATCAGCTGTTCTCCGTGCAGAGCGGAGATGTGGGCGTGGCCAAGAGCGCATGTAGGTGGCAAAGAGCAGAGGAGGCAGGGAGCTGAAATCATGACATGCTGTCTCTTAGAGCGTTTAAAGTTTAGAAACATTGTTTAGAATATTGCAAGAGTGTGGAAAGGCTTTAAAACGCCTTTATATATATATATTTACATATATACTAAAATAAACTACTACTTACTTTTTGTGCTACTATTCCTTCGTGATTTTTCACTTATCACAGGTCTTCAGGGTACGGATCCCCCCGCGATAAACGAGGGACTACCGTACTTGTTATAATAATATACACATTTAAATCCTAAGATTATCAGTTCTTTTTACCTAAAGCTCATATGTGTAAGCTTTAGTGCTTTAGGCCAGTGGGCGGGGCCAACGCTGATCTATCCGAGATGATTGCTTTGGTCTGAAATAAACTTTTTCAAACATAAAAGTATTTTTTATACAGAACGGACACAAGTTCTGTTCAGTTTATAAGAGGTATTTTAAATGGAAAATTAAAAAGTGGCAGCTAAATGTTTCTTTGTATAAAACCCACAAGAATAAAACAAACGAATCGACTTTAACATTTAACACGTCTTCAGTTTGAATTCACTGACTGGTCCGACAAAACTCTCATTTCTTGAGAATTTCTAAATGTGCTTTTAATGATTTCCAAAATAAAACGTTCTTATGATTGATGCAATGAAGCATCAAGCTCAAACAAAAAATTGTAAATGCTAAACTGCTCGCTTCAAAGCACAACTTTAACTGTCCTGGAATCATTTCACATTAAAACAACCAAGTCTTGCATCACCGGTGACACCTTGTGCTCCAGAAACCTCCTAATCAGAAGTCCACAACTCTGGTCCTCCAGGCCCGCTGTCCTGCACGACTGAAGAAGATCCTGCTTCAGATCACCTGATGTTCATCATCAGGTTCTGTAGAGCGTGATGCTCTAAGAGTTTTGGAAAAACATTGTTTCCATGTGGACAAGGCGTAAATCCTCTGAACCATCTAGACATGCAGGACACTGGACCCTGAGGTTTCACAGCTGATGGATGTTTAATAATAATCAGCAGCTTCTTTTTACACTGATTGAATTGAAACATTTTATTAATTAATAAAAAAAAACAAGCAGTTTTTAATAATCTCTCTAGTTTATGAAGAAATTACAAATTTTATATTTATAATCTGCAGCAGCATGAAGCCGTGGAATTATTAATGATGTTTTATCATGACCTGAGCCGATGTATTGAGATTAAAATAATTTATGTTGTTTTTATTTTTTGAGTTCTTTAAAACTTTAAGACGACGGATCCTTTTCTTAAAATTAATTGTGCTGTTAACACAGAAATCTGATTGTTTGAACTTGTTAAAACTTCTGTTTTAATCACAGCCAACGTCGTTTTTTATTAAAACCAGAACATTTTCCTGTGTGATCTTATTAATGTTGGTTGTGATAAATAAATAAATAAAATAAAATAAAGGTGTCGGTCTGAACTGTGGAACTGTTTCCTGAATCTCATCTTCTGTTTGTTTGTTTTTTCTTCTGGAAGTAAACGACGAGGTCGCCCCAGGAAGCACCCCCTCCCTCCCCGGCCCTCGCTGCCCTCTCCATCCTCCTCCTCTTCCTCCTCCACCTCCTCAGCCTCCTCTTCCTCCGGCTCCTCCTCGTCGTCCTCCGAGGATGATGATGACGACGACGACGACATGGCGACCGTGGGGGCCATGGAGCCGTGCGCGGCGCCGCGGTGCCGGCTGCCCCAGCAGGACACGGTGCAGTGGATCCAGTGCGACGTGTGCGACGCCTGGTACCACTTGGACTGTCTGCACGTGGACCGGAAGAAGCTCCTGAAGGACCCCAACGCCGACTTCCACTGCGGCTGTCGCTGATGGAGTCGAGCCCAACGGCTCCTTCGGGCCTTTTCATCCATAAACGTTTATTTCAGTCGTACGGAGGAAAAACTGGTTCAAACAAACGCACCGAGTCGAGTTCGATTCACTTGTGAAGCAGCTGCAGGTTAAACACCGCTCTGATCTCGTCAGCTGTTGTGGACTCAGTCCCTCTGCGTCTTCAGAGACAAACTAATGAAACGTGTCCGCCTGGACACCAGGACGACTTACTGCCGAGCACGGAGCTGCGTTCGGACCGAGCAAACGTTTCCAAGCAGGATGAACGTCCTCGCTGCCCTGAGCGGTTTGTCTCCAACTGCCTTTGCTTTCCGCCCCGGCGAGGGTCAGTGCTGCAGGAGTCCGAGGCTTCCAGGCGAGCGACGCTCGTGCACTCAGGACGATAATCAAATGTTTGAAAGCACTTCTGCAGGAGCAGCTGCGGGACTTTGGGAGGATTTATTTTTGATTAAATCGTGGCTGCAGCCGCTTGGAGACGACTCGCTTCACAACAAACTTCAGCTCTGGAGCAAAAATGATCTGGGTAAATCTTGACGCCACAAAAAGTTTGAAAATCCTCGTTTCTGGTTGAGCTCGACCTTGAAGAGCTCCACACTACTGAATCTTTAGTTCTGGCTGCACCAGAACCCGAAGCACATTTTTTAATTCTTCATTCCTTATTTGTTGAGTTGGGAAGAATACGACTCAAGATCCAAAGAAGCGGGTCATTTAGTAAAACGTTAAGAAACAAAACAAAAAGGATTTGCAAACTCATCCACCCAGTATTTTTGTAGACGTACTAAACAAACATTTTAACTAATTAACTGCACTTGTTTGTTTTTTTTAAGGTATTTTTAGATTTTATAGCATCAACGCGTCTCTTTAAAGTTCATCCAGGTCCATGTTTAGCTCTGAAGGATTCTCTTTACTTCTAACAACGGTCTGTGGACATCCAGGACCCGAGGGGACCGGCTGTTGGTTTGGAGCCAATGTCCCATTCTGGTCTGGAGGATTCTCTGTTCTGTGGGAGCAGATGTTCGAAAACTTGTAGATACTTTTCTGTTTGATGGCACTTTTCCAGATGTGTAAGCTGCCCATGCCATAGACTGTAATGCACCCCCATACCATCAGAGAGGCAGGTTTTTGAACTGCTAACAGGCTGCATGGTCCCTCTTTAGCTTGAAGGATGTGGCGTCTGATTTCCAAAATGAATTTCAGGTTTGGATCCGACTGACCCCAGAACAGTTCTCCACGCTGCCTCAGTCCATTTTAAGTAACTGGTTCTGAGAAGACGCCAGAGGTTCTGGACGGTGTTCACACATGGCTCCTAAAACGCTCTTATTATTCCTGACTTGGTGCTAATTATCCTAATTATTATCAAAATGCTCCTCCGGCTCCACTTTTAATGCCCCCGTCCCAAAAATGAACTGTTTGTTGTTAAAGATGATTCAAGCTTCGTTTTCTCTGAGAATAAAAACGTGGGTTTATGGAATTTGCAAATCGCCACATTCACTTTTTTCTTTACATTTTGCACGACGGAGGCTGTGGATTCTGCACCGATTTTAAAATCTTTCAGCGACTCGTGGAGATTTTCAGGGAATTTTACCTCAGATTTTATTTTTTTAAACGAGTTGGAAAAAATGCTTTTCGAGCAATAATTCAGTTCACCAGTTTATTTCTGTGGTTTTATTAAAAAGCCTCCATCCGCAGCTCAAAGGCTCCAGTTTGACTCCAAACTAATAAAAATGTCTTTAAATGAAATGTCCTGCTGGTGCAGACCGTTAGAAATGAGTTTTAATAAACAACGACCTCAGAGATCAGATTTGTAAATGAAAGCTTGTTTTTTTTACATGAATTTAAATGTTTCTGTTCATTTGCAGCTGATTTCTTCAGAACTTTGCATATTGTCTTTGTCATGGATTTGACGCATATAAAGATATTTAAACGCGTCTTCTTGTTTTTTGGCAGTTGAGTTTAGTGTTTTGGGTGCATTTGTTTGTCTTCTTTCATGCGATTAACCTCGTAGTCCTTCCAACAGATTAGTTTTCTCCAAACCGAGTGCCAGATGTGTCGAGCAGCCGGTGAGAGTGTCACTTTTTAATTGCTGAGAAGTCGAACCGGCGACGACGACCGCAGGAACCACGAACAGAACCCGTGTGACGCGAAGCTTCAACGAGAAATTATTCAGAGTAAAAAATTCAAAGAAGGCCCTGCAGGTGCTCAGACGGAGCCGCCGCCTCCGATTGGCTGAAAGTTTGAACCTAATTAAATTTAAGTCCTCGCGGGCTGAAAATTCTCAGTTGGAGCTCGGATGTTTGTGAAAAAATCTCTACGTTTTGTTAATAATGTTTCTTGATACGTCCAAGAGCGAACGGTTTCCATGATGACTCGGTTTAAACAACAGAATGGGAGAAAAGCTTCAATTTAACGTCTTCCATCAGGACGGGTTGTCCCTCCACCCATTACGAGGAAGATGGTTTTCTAATGAGCACTTGAAGGCATCATGAAGAGGAGGGTGTTCATTTTTTACTCCGTCAACTAATGAAAATCACTCGTACTCGTAGAAGAAGACTGAGACGAACATGTCCACGGGGACATGAGGTGTCCTCAGCATCTCGGGTGTCTTCAGTGAGTCATGTGGGTGACAGGTAGTCACAGGGCTGTCGTGTTCCACCCTGAACGTGGACACAGCTGAGGACAGAGTTGTCTCAGACATTATGTTGGAGGTAAAGACTGTGAGACCATCTCCATCAGCTTGATGTTCCTCTGCAGCTGCTCAGACGTTTAACGTCCACAGGACTGGAGACCACCTCCCTGGACGTGTCCACAAGAGGACAAACTGAAGAAACACAGACAATATGAACAGCAACCAAAGAGTCCAGAACAACTTTCCATGAGATTAGAGGTCAAGGTCAAAGGTCATAGGTCAGTTGGAGACAAAGTGGACTTCATGGAAGATGACTGAGGACGCAGATCCTGAAAAACAAGACTGGAATTTGACTAAATGCACGTTAAGAAACCACTTGGGGACAATGTCCTCTGGACAGAAGCTTTTTGACAACAAGTCCCATCATCTCTGTTCACAGACCCAAAAGAACCCTGTCCCTACAGAGGAACACGGAGGAGGCTCGGTTCTGTTCTGGTCCTGCTGTGCTGCATCTGGATCTGTGCAGGGTACAAAGAAATCTCAGGACTATCAAGGTCTTCTGGACTGAAATGTGCTGCTCAGTGTCAGTTTGGTCTCAGTCACAGCTCATGGGTCCTCCAACAGGACAATGACCCAAAACACAACTACAAACACCCAGGAATGGACCAGAACCAAACAATGGACTGTTCTGAAGTGGCCTTCTGAGCCCTGATCTAAATCCTGTTGGACATCTGTGGAAGGAGCTGAAACATCTGGAGAAGAACTTTCAGACCCGAGACAGCTGGAGCTGAGTGCTCATGAGGAGTGGACCAGGACACCTGTGGACATGTGGACTAGGTCATGTGTGGACAGGTGGACCAAGACACCTGAGGACACGTGGAC